TCCCCTTTATTTAAATAATGTCTTAGTTTCCCCTCATATCACCCACAATCTTATCTCTGTTCGCAAACTCACTCATGATAACAACTGCACTGTTGAATTTGATGCTCATGGCTTTTCTGTGAAGGATCGTCAGACGGGGACCGTGACGCATCGGTCCAATAATGTGGGTCCCCTCTACCCTGTAGGCCAACCAGAACCAGCCCAAGCGCGCGTCTCATCCGTAGATCATCAAACCTGGCATCGTCGTCTCGGCCATCCAAGTCCTGCAGTCCCTCATGGAGTCTCTCATAATTTTTCTTTATTTAAAAATTATCAACAAACTCTTTGTCATGCATGTCAGTTGGGAAAGCATGTGCGCCTCCCATTTTACCCTTCTAGTCGAGTTTCTTATTTTCCGTTTCAACTTTTACATACAGACTTATGACAATCTCCTGTGCCAAGCATTACTGGTTTTAAGTTTTATATGTTGTTGTTGGATGATTTTTCTCATTATCTGTGGGTGTTTCCTTTAAGACATAAAAGTGATGTTGTTACTCACTTAAATTCTTTTGTGGCATATGTGAAAAATCATTTTAACACAACAATCAAAGCTGTTCAAAGTGACAACGGAACTGAATACGAAAACTCCCCTCTTAAAAATATTTTTAACTCCTTAGGCATTATTTTCCGCTTCTCTTGCCCTCACACGAGTCAACAAAACGGACGTGCCGAACGAACCATTCGCACAATCAATAACACCGTCCGCTCACTCCTCTTCCAAGCCCAACTTCCCCCTGAATTCTGGGTCGAAGCCTTGTACATGGCTACCCATCTTTTCAACATCCTACCCACCACCACTTTAAACAATCGCACTCCTCACTCTGTTCTCTACAACTCACCCCCCCACTACTCCCACCTTCGCGTGTTTGGATGTCTCTGTTACCCCAACATCTCAGCCACCACTCCCCATAAACTTGCACCACGCTCTACCCGCTGCATCTTCCTTGGCTATCCCTCGAACCAACGTGGTTTTAGATGTCTTGATCTTGAAACAAATAAAATCATTGTCTCCCGCCACGTTGTCTTTGACGAACACACCTTTCCATATGCTCACCCCCTCACCCCTCCCGATCTTCAATTCTTGGATTCCACCGATGACGAACACCACCCCCTCACCCATCCCGCCACCTCTCCCACGGTAGCCCCCCTCCCCA